TTCTTTTTGGCCAACTCTGGGTACGAGGCTAGATTTACACTACTTTATTTGGAATCAATCCCGGATATGAGATTACGTTTCGTTTTTTTTTATGATCATTTAAGGAGTAGTAGTTCTAAGTCTTCTCTTTCTTTCCGAATATCTGTATTTTAATTAATTGTAACTGCAGGATTATAGTTGGTTCTAAGTCTTCTCTTTCTTTCCGAATATCTGTATTTTAATTAATTGTAACTGCAGGATTATAGTTGGTTCTAAGTAACAATACTCTTACCTCATTAGAGGCTGTCAGAAGAGAGTTCTTTTACTGATGAATGCCCAACTATTTTTGATGAAGGAATCATTTGTAGCTATTATGAAAATGACTGTTACGCATGGCTTTTATATTGGTGCTGAAAGCCATTTCCTGCTTTACTCTCTGTCCAATCCTTGTCAGGGTTACGTTCAGGTAACTCTCTGTCTAATCCTTGTAGTTTTGGTTTAGGCTAGTTTCCCGAAATCCCAGTGACGCCAGATGTTTCTTCCATATAGGGCTGGGTTGTATGAGATCTGGTGTTGACCAATTATATTAGTGGTGGCTGTACAGCCCTTTTGTCTCTTGAGGCACCTGCTTGAATGCTTACCTGTGGGGGTAGAATGTACCAATTGAAAAGGACCATGTCTTAATGATGGAACGCATGATCCTGACATTGTAAGGCTCTAGTTAGGAATTTTGCCTGTAAGCACTGTTGGTGTTTTGTAATGGTACTGAGAAATATAATAGTTCTGAGTAGTCTTCAAGTGATGGGTTAAGTACATCCCCTGAGTAGTCTTCAAGTGATGGGTTAAGTAAGTACATCCCTTGAGTAGTCTTCAAGTGATGGGTTAACTACATCCCCTGAGTAGTCTTCAAGTGATGGGTTAAGTACATCCCCTGAGTAGTCTTCAAGTGATGGGTTAAGTACATCCCCTGAGTAGTCTTCAAGTGATGGGTTAACTAAGCACATCCCTTGAATAGTCTTCAAGTGATGGGTTAACTAAGCACATCCCTTGAATAGTCTTCAAGTGATGGGTTAACTAAGCACA